ATATGTGTGTATATTAAGACTGAAATATTTATCGTATTATATATGATAATATTACTGCTACTAATTGTTTTCTTGTTATATTTAAGGGGAAAATTCCTTATGGAATCAAGTTATGTTTTCTGTGAGAAACTTATTGATGGTAGATTAAGTTTTCAAGGGATGAACCCAGCTATAGAAAAGTTAATGGAAGCAAGGGAGAATGCCAATCGACCTAAAGTAGAAGTGAAACAAGATGCTGATGTATCTGATGAACAAATGGCTGTTCAGTGGAAGAAGATGCGAGCAAAGTTTGACTCTGTAAACAAACGTATGAAGCATAAAATCCTAATCTTTCGCCAAAACATGAAAATGAACCATTGAAAAAGAAACCAAAATTTTTGAAACCAGTAGAATAAATCTATTTATAAGTAATATATAATAACTTTACATATAATTTTAGTTAAATGTAAAGTTGTTAAATAAATACATTGTACAGTTTAGTTTGTATGCTTAATACATACATAAAATTGACATTGTAAACAAATTGTTTTATTACTTTGTAATAATTGTTATAATAAAGATCGCGTGATATTAAAGTTTAAAAAATTATATTTATTACAATATAATTGAGACATATAGTTTTATATTTTTTCATCAATCTTTCATATAATTATTAAAGAACTCACATGTATTTAGTTATGTATAATCTTTTTGAGCATGGATCTGATATGGCAAGTAGCTCCTAAAATGTTTGTATGCATGCTGCATCGGTGCAATTCTGTATTCTCATCTATATTTTCTTTTTACTAAAGCATATCAAAGCTGTTCTCCGGAAATTCGAAATCGATATTCTCAGATACGATATGCTCCGTATTTTTTCTTTCTCACAAAATTTATTTAAAAATAAAGGTTTACGAAGTATAAATTAATAATATTTGTGATGTGGTAACATAAAACGGAATACAATATGTCAGTATAGTAGAATAGTAATATAAATTAACATATTTGGACATTTTGAGGAATTTTTGATATGCGTAATTTTACAAATCTGCATTTTGTAATTTAATATAATTATTTTTATGATGTAATGTATGATATAATTGATATGCAATTAAGTGGTCTACCTTGAAAAAGTCTGTGTGTCAATTCGTATCTTGTGTAAATGCTGGGCGATATTGAACAGTGAATATTAAACGAGATATATTAAACAGAGGTTTGATCGTCTAAATTCTCCTTGTCTGAATATTGGCGCGTGGTAACATTGTCAGCAGAAAATCTGTTCTTTCAGATGGAAGTCCAGCCGCATGAATTTTTTGAAGTACACTCCATACTCCACGTATTCGCTATTTATTTTTGAAGAAATATTTTTAAAATTTAGACATTAAAAAACTCTACTTGCGCTATCAGTTTTCTGAAAATTTCCAATACCGTCACTATATGTAGTGCAATCTGAACTCGCTGTTGCTTCTACAATAATATTTATTAATATTATTACCTATTATTACAAATAAAAATTAAAATTAAAACGTATTTAAAGCTACTAATTAAAATTATTATTAATTATGATATAAAAGTTTCTCATTCATAATTTTTCTAGATAATTTTGAAAAGGAAAACGAGAAAAATCTACAGAGAGATATCATAAAAATTATTCGTAATTTATTTACGTTTTATCGTTGGCAAAACAGGTAAACTTCGCTTCCAATTCAAGAGATTCAGCAATTCTCTGTAATTAATATATCCATCTTTGCGTAATTGCAACGTGTCCATTAACGGTATGAGAAATTCTTTATTTGGATATATGCGATGTTTTTTAAAAATCAGAAAAATCTTATCTTCAGACAGCACTCCACTATATTTCTATATTAAAATTTTGCAACAATTTCATAATTATAAAAACATAATTTAAATTCTTGTATTTTAATTAATTTAATTAATTAAAATTTAGGTATTTTCTTTATTTGTGGAAGTTTATATTAATTTTTATTATTTATTATAATATACAAATATATAATAATAAATAATAATTAATAAAAAAACTCATTTATATACACAGTAATCAATACATTAATAAATTGATATATTGATACTTTGTCCAGACAAGAAAAATCATCTTCTATGTCCATGAATGATATTTCTGGTATACGCTTTTTGAGTTTTTGACGGAAATTGTTTAAATCTTGCAAACATTGCCACCAAAAACGCGTTTGTTCATTTACATTAAAATCATTAAAAATATTTGACTCATCTTTGACGGTTTTTCTTCCATGTACAGCATCCATGTAGAGACGTGACGTTTCTAGATCTCTTGAATCACAAATTTATCTATTTTTTTTAAAGTAATGTATCATTTTTATTTTAACTTTTCTAATTTTTCTTTACTTAATATACAGGAAGAAGCATATAAAAAGAACTAAACTAAACTTTATTTATTATTTGAAATTCAATTCAAATTGTATTAGTTGATAAAATAAAAATAAATTAAATCTATACGTTAAAAATAATGATATTGACGAAATTTATAAAAACAGAATATAAAACATAGAGTTAAAAATATCTTATTCAATCTTTGTAACGCTTTAAAACACTGGTATTTATTTATTTATTTACACGGATCTGTCACGTAAGAGATTGACAAGATCTTTATCATTCCTCATTGTGCTATTGTGCATTTTGTAACTATCGTAAGATTGAGAGACTGCTAGTTCATAACTGATATTACTTGACTTGTCCAACAAATGATTTAGTACGCTTTATAAAATCTGCTTGTTGACAGTTGACTAAGGTAACCGGTTCGTGATTAATCCACGTCAAAATTTTTCTGATCCGTGATTCCGATCCTTGACTTTTCAAAGGTTTGCCAAATCTGACACATTTATCAAAAGACTTTTTGCAACTGTAAGAAGAAATCCTGATTATATAAAGGCAGTTCGGTATGCAATTTTATTTTGACATCGCATCGTACTTACTTTCTTGTAATTTGTTCTCCCGGCTCATAATAATTATGCGATTTTCGGCACCAAGAATTGCGTGCAACATCCTCTTGTATCATTGTATTTTTCTCAATTTCAAGTATTTGTTTCATAGCCGCTTTCACAAAAAGTTCAGATAAAAATAATTATAATAAAAAAAAGGTTAATGATTTTTATGTTACGAGCTTGTACGACAAAAGAAAAAAGAAATGGATGATGGATGTTTAAAAAAAAATTAGGCAGAGGAAAAGAGACCTATATATCCACACTAGAGAAAAAAACACTATTATGTATTGAGCTAAAGGATAATAATTGTATATTGAATTAATAAATGTCTGTAAAGCATAAGAATTCTTTTTTTAAATCGTTCTCTCGTCACGTAAATTGGAAAACTCATAATTTGGAAAACAATTTTTTTAATCTCGAGATTTAATCGAGATTTTCAAAATTTTTGCAATATAATTTATGTTTCACTTAGAAATACTTGACGGAAAGTCAAGTTTGACAACGCAATTATGACTCTGTCCATCGAGTTTTACCGAGGTTTTTGACGAAACACTCTATTGTCTCTATCACAAATGATTATCAAGGAATAACTTATATATATCACACAATATCGCGTAACGGAATATACTGTGTCCGATTTTGCAATGGAACGGCAGAAACGGAATATGGCCTCGCGAGCGCCCTGGTCGGCGACGTAACGTTATACACGAGGGATATATCGAATGAAGTTGTTCGGCTAGTGTTGGCTTTTTTTTCCGCGTGTTAATTCCCCCAAGATGGATTTGCGGCGTTTAAAGAGCCGGCGTCTCTCTCTCTCTCTCTC